GGATGGGTGGTCGGGCGGTTATCCGGTGCCCGGAAATAACAGAACTGGACTTTGGTGTTTCTGCCCACTAAGAACCCCCGGGGGTTGGTGTGACACCAGGCCCAATGGGAGCATTTTTGGCCTGGGACAAAATCCCAACGCATCTTTCTTTAGGAGAAGGAGGCGCTTGCCCTTAGTAGGGGGGGGGGGGGGCGCAGGCGGCGCGAGCACGCGGCAGTAAGCGGTAGCGGCGGACGGCGTGCTCACAGCTAGAGGTGTGACTCGGCGCGGCGGCGCGGTTAGGCTCAGAGCTAGGCTTGGGCTTCGGGCAGGGCTTGGGCGGTGGCCTGGTCGTTAGCGGCGTACGGCCGGTCGGCGTAGAGCACGACCTCCCGCTGCTTTGAAAAGGGGATGGACTGGTACATGAAGTTGGAGCTCGAGCAGGGCGAGTGGTTGAGCAGGTCTGCGTACGGCACCTGGTTCCGAGATATGGGGAGATATGGGGAGATATGGGGAGATATGGGGAGATATGGGGAGATACGGCACCTGGTGCCGAGGCAGACGCCGCCGCGTCGGCGCGCGAGACTGGAAGGTGTGAGGGCGGTGCGGGTGGTGCGGGTGGTGGCGGTGAGGGTCCGTCGAGCCTCGAGTGTGTGTGTGTCGAGTGTGTGTGAGCGCGTCGTGTCACCGGCCGAGCTGGCCGGTGCCGGCGTCCTCATCTTTGAGGTCGACCCCGCGCGAGAGGAGCATCGTCATGCCTGCGCGGAGAGAGGTCCGTCGGCTGCTCACGCCCCCGCAGGCCAACGGCCGAGGGGAGAGGAGGGGAGGGGAGAGGCGAGGCGAGGAGAGGAGAGGCGAGGCGAGGAGGGGAGAGGAGAGGCGAGGAGAGGAGAGGCGAGGCGAGGCGAGGACAGGAGAGGCGAGGAGAGGAGAGGCGAGGAGAGGCGAGGAGAGGAGAGGCGAGGAGAGGAGAAGCGAGGCGAGGAGAGGAGAGGCGGGGAGAGGCGAGGAGAGGAGAGGCCCGCACCCCACACAAACGCGTCGTACGTGACCACGTCGGCGGGCAGGACGTCGGCGTGGCGCGCGAGCGTCGTCTCGCGCAGCGCGGCGTACTCGGCCTGCAGCTTGGCCTGGAAGGAGCGCGTCGAGTCCAGCGCGCCCGATCCCTTCAGCAGCGCCAGCTCCGCCTACGTGCTGAAGACGCCAACCTCGGGGCGGGAAGACGGTGTTGTGCGGAGTATTCAGAGCACCGCGTGAGCACAACGGTTACGAACAGGGAATGACCAATGAGGGGGGGAGGGCGGGGTCCTGTGGGGGTGAAATGTTGCGCGGCGAATTCGAGCCTACCCCCTCGCCGCGCCGATCCTCAAGGGAGGTATAGGAAACCAGGTTCTTCTGTGAAGAGTGGCGCGCCACCCAAGAGCCTACTCGCATAAAGTGGGTAAACCATAGTACCGTATTCGGTACTATGAACAGAGAAGCCCATAAAAGTCGCCAGCGGAAGTCCGCGACGAGCCAGCCAGCTGCCGGCTCGCACGGCAGCCACTTCCTCTCGACCAGCCTCAACTTCCGTACAGTCAGTCAACATTTTGTCGCTGCGTGCTCGTGGCGAGCTGTGGCGGCGGTCGAAGTTGGCCCAGATTCGACGACGAGCGCCAGACGATAGTGCCGCCTCTGTTCGCCCTGTGCATGTCAGGCCAGGCTGCAGCAGGGCACTACCATCGCTTGCGAGGCTCTCGCGCTGGTACACTTTGGCCACCTGATGCTCGCGTTCGGCGAGCTCATCTCTGCACTCCTGCCACGGTGCCGTCACCGCACACCTTCTGGCCGGCCTGAGACACGCGGACTCGCCGGCGGGGGCAACATATCGACCTCTCTCTCTGGTGCACCACGGGCCGCGACGGCTGCTGGCAGCAGGCGCGAGGAGGCAGTGTGCCGGCACAGTCGAGCCGGAGCATCGGGTTCTTGATGCCTGTGGGGTCAAGTTTGACCTTATGTGGCATAATATGCAACAATAAGGCTATGCTATCTCCTTGCTTTTTGAGATATTATCCCTCAAAGTCGAATTATGGTTTACTGGTGACCATAGTACCGTCTGTCTTGTTTGCGTTTCTTCCAACGAATCCTTTAAAGTCTTAACAATCACTAAGCTGCATATGTGGCACCGCAGGGGCTCCCTTGGGGATGCCTGAGGCCACCCCAACCACTCACTAAGCCGTACGTGGACGAATTCAAACCTACTTTTATGGTTTACCTACATTATGCGAGTAGGTAGGTGCGGATCGGCAAGGCGCAAGGATCTTTTTGCCTTATTATATCATCCTTGGGTTGTGATCTAAGAACTTGAAAGCAACCACGCAGCAGGGGGCGCACAGCAGCAAGGCTAGCCCTTGCTGTCTACAAATATATACGCGCGACCTCCCGCGAGCGCGGCGGGATCGGAATTGCGGCCGGAGGGAAGGGCGAGCCGCCGCCGCCGCCGCCATACCATCAGCGACGACGACCGCGGCTCGCCCCAAACGCCAGGCGCTGGATCGGCAGTAGGGCTCGGCAGTAGGGCTCGGGCGGCGCAGCGTAGGCCTCGAGCCACACGAGTCGCCGACAACCCCCCTCATCGACGTGAAGGCCGCTCTCGCCGCCGGCCGATGCACGCTGCGCCGCCACCGCACCAGCGATACTGGCCGCGGCTCGCCGCCACGCGCCGGCTCGGAAGAGGGGCTGTCGGCAGCGCAGCAGAGCGGCACGCCTCGTCATTCGAGCAGCACCAGCCCCCCTCTTCGACGTGACGGCCGCTCTCGGAGCCGGCCGGTGCGCGCCCGACCCACGCCCCCCCTCGCACCCCCCCGACCCCCCTGCGCGGCGCCTCCTTCCACTGCGCGCCGGCTCGAGGGTGAGGGGGGCTCCCCCCGCAGGGGGCTTTGGGGCATAGATTGTTGGGTGGATCGCTCGTGTCCAATCTCGGGTCGATCTCGGGTCGATATCAGGTCGATCGGTCAATCTCGGGTCGATCTCGGGTCGATCTCGGGTCGATCTCGGGTCGATCTCGGGTCTCGGGTCAGTCTTGGGTCGGTCTCGGAGTGGCCTAGAAAAGAAAAAAATGCGGTGAGATCAGGTGAGACGAGGCGAGGTGAGGCAGGTGACCTGCTTCCAGTACGAGGGCGTGAACGCAATCAAGCGCGCCCTCCTCAAGGGGGTCGCGCTCGGCAGCGAGGAGGTGCGGGGAGATCTGGGGAGATGTCGCCTAGATATGGGGGAGATAGACAGGGCCCTCCTCAAGGGGGTCGCGGGTACTTCGCGACACTGGGCACGGGACTGGCGCGTACTGGCACTGGAGGGGCGAGCGTGTGTCCGGCGAGGCGCCAATACCTCACCCGTACCTTTACCGAGCTCCGAGGTTGCGCGCGGTGTTCCTGTACCTCCACCTTAGGTAAGTGGCCCATGTCTGCACCTCTACCTAAGTGTGCCGGCCAGCGCCCACACCGGCACCGGGGGTAGGGTCAGAGGGACTGCACCCAAGGTGTTGAGGTGAGCACCTTATGAAGTGTGGATCATAGCATGCTCCCCGGCGCTGGATGTGAGGTCGCTGGAGCTTCTGCAGCAGCCTGCACCTCCTCAAGTGCTCCAAGTGATCTTAGTGATCCTAGAAGTGATCCAAGTGGAGCGCTCGTGCAGCATTGATACATCTGAGCTGTGTGCGCTGTGGTCGGCCCGCAGGCAGGTTTGCACCCCGAGGGCGCCGGGGGGCGGTGCCCGGCGCCGAGCCTGTCCGACCTTATATAAGAAAGCGTTGTCAACCCCTGAGCGTGGGTGGTGGAGTCCTGCGTGGAGAGCGGAGGGCCCCGCGGCCCGGTGGCGCTCCCGCCTCCCGCCGGGCAGGCAGGTTCTCAACCCAAGTCGCAGCCTAGTACTTCTCGTTCTCGGTGGCCATGGCGGAGCCCGTGTGTTGGCTGGTGAGCGGACCCGCTCGCCGGTGAGCCCCTGCGAGGTCGGCTCCGTGGGCAGCCACGGATCCAGCCAGAGCGCGCCACGTGCGGCGCCCTTTTCACCCCACTCCCCCCCCAGCTGTAAGTCTGCTGTCTGGCGGACACACGCCGTTTACTGTGAGCCCGCCGGGGAGGCTGGGGCTAACAGCATATCTTCAAGTTTAAGAAATACTCAGGTGTTTTAGGAGAGTCGAGCAAAGTGTGCCAAACTGTACACAAACCCGGCGGCCGGTGTCGGGTGGGGCATCAACGGTCTCGGCGGGGCATCATTTCCATGGCCAGCGAGGCCCAGAAGGCTGCCTGGCGCAGGTCCGAGCAGAAGAAGCGTCTGCCGCGCAAAGACGATCGCGAGCGCGGCAAACGCGACCGCACTCGCGATCGGCCCGGCGCGCGCGCAAAAAGGCGGCCGCCATCGTCTCAACGCCGCGCACCGCATCGGAAGACCGCCACTAGCACCCACGCCTTCGCGATTACAATGGAGGCGATCACGAGAGCCTCGACCGCCTCGAGGCCGAGCCAGTCGCCCGTGCTCATCACTGGACGCGGTGGCGACGGCCTCGCCCGCTGGGGCGACGGCGCAGCTCGCCGCGCGTCGTGCATGTCCATGGCTGCGGGCCTCTTGCTGCCGTTTTTGTGGCGCCAATGGCTGCGGGCCGGTGCTGCGGCCGCATGGCTCTCGGCGGCACCGGCGAGCGCCTTCTCGATCGCGTTCTTGGCGTCGAGTGTGTGGCCATTGTCGTGCAGAAAGCACATCTTCCGGTGGCGGCCCTTGCCCTCGCGCAGCAGCACGCCGCTCGGCGCGCCGTACACGAACATGGCCGGGTCCAGGTTCCAGCCGGTGACAAAGAGGCGCGCGCCATAGTCGAGAGTCAGCATCTCATGGTGCGCAAACATGTACTCGCCCAGCGCCGTCTGATCGTTGATCGGGAGGAAGTAGGGGCGGCCCTGAAGCTGCGCCCAGCTCCACTCCCACAGATTCGGCACGAGGTCGAGGCAGGCGTACGCCAACGTCCAGCGGAGCATCGAGAGCAGGGCCGCGGGCGGGCCCATATAGGCGCCGCTGTTGACAAAGGCGTAGCGGGCGCAGCCGGCCGGAAAGGATGGCCCGCCCTCCTCCTGCACGAAGCACTTCCTCCTCGCAATCGAGGTCCCTTCGGTGCGAAAGACGGGCGGTATCGGGCCGCCAGGCGTCGCTGCCATGCGCTCCGGAAAGGGAGGGTTCTCATAGCGCGCGCACCGCTGCAAGCGCTTACTCGGTCGGCCCGGCTTGTAGCACTGAGCTTCGGCCGACGCGACGATCGGGCAGCCGGTCGCGTTGACGATTGCGTCGTAAGATGCGACAAAGTCCTCGAGTGCGCAGCCACCGAAGATGACGTCGCTGTCCGTGAAGACGACAATGTCGATAGCGGCGGCGGACGCGATCCAGCGGTACATCTTCCAAAACTTCCACAGCGTGCCGCCGCGGTACGCTTCATGCTGCAGCGCAATGTTGTGCCGGTAGAGGCGTGGCTTGAACTGAAGCGGCGAAAGCAAATCAAACCGATCGTCGGCCAGGACAAAGTAAACCTTTCGTCCGTTGCTTGTGCGGTAGGTGGCCTTGGCGTGTAGCGGCGAGAGCGTGTTGTTCTTCGTCTGCAGCAGCAGGAGGAGGGCCCACAGGATGGCCAATAGCGACGTGAGGAGTCGGAGCATGAGTCGGAGCATGATCTCGACGCAAGAAACATCACTGGCGCGCGGCAAGGGCTGTTGTTCATCTTTCTACATACATACATGCAAGGGAAACGACGAGAGTGGGAAGACCGCGAGGTGGCATGAAGGTTGCAGCGAGAATCGGAGAGGGACTGCGAAGAGAGATAGGAAGAGGCAGACGCCCAAGGGTGGGCGACGGCTAGCGCATCACACCCCTCTTCTTAAAATCCCTGTGTGGTGGCGGCGTGCCGTCCTCCCATCCCTCCTTCGTACCCCGCCTTGCAAAGTCATTGTTGCGGACGAAGTTGCGCGGCTCCTTCACCTCCCCGAGGTGCCGCACGCCCGCACCGCCTCCTCGAGCCTCCAGCCTCTTGGACACCGTGCTTCTCCAACGGTAAAAATGGCAGCTGGTGCTCCGTCTCGTGCGACAGTTCGAGAGGCTGCAGCCCAAATGCTGGCAGCAGCTGCGACTTCCAAGTAGCCACCTCTGCTGCCGCTGCCACTGAGCGCTCGCACGCCGCCATATGCGCCCACCTCAGCCCAAGCCCATCGATGCGGAAGAGCGCCATTCGCACGCCACTCGGCGTGCGCCCCTCCAGCAGGAAAAAGCAGCGGCGGAGGTTCGACTTTGTGCGCCCACGTTCGAGTAAAAGCAGTCGCGCTGTGACGTCGCCACCGACCCTGCCACCTTGCAAAGGCTGGCGACCACGTACCGCGGAAAGCGCAAGCCCGCGTCCGCAAATGCTGCCACGGTCGGGCTGTCAGGCGATACACCCGGGACCCGCTCCCGTCGAGCACGCCTGCGTGGTCCACGCTCGTACACTGCCATCGTCGAGAAGATGCTGGCGGTCACCGCAGCCAATGCCGAGTACATCCCTGACGCTCGACGCGCATCTGCTGCAGGTAGTGGCCGAGTTGTGGTTGACAGCGTCTCTGCAATGCCGACACAGCCACCACTCCAGCCGCAGGGGGGCACGAAGGGGCAGGTGTATAGCACACGCAGCAGTAGCGACAACAAAGGTGCAGATCACGGTTAGAGGTATGAATGGGCAGTGTAACCAAAATCGATCGAAGATGTCACAAAAAAATGTATCGGGGACAAAACAATCTTTTCGTCGCAAACTCTATACAATTTCGTCAGGAAGATAATGATTTCGTCGGAAAGATAATAAGATTCCTTTTCGTGACGAACCACGATATCGCGTTGAAAAAAATCATTGTCGATGGCGTCCCTCAGCGGAGTGAGCTGATCCACGAGCGACGCGACACGGTAAATTTTAAGCTCTGGCACGCGCGGCTTAAACGACGTCCACCGCACATACATAGCCGCACACGACGTCAAAAAAACGGAGCATTTGCGATTAAAACGAGCGCGGCTGGAGGCCCTTTTGACCCAGCTGCACACACATCGAAAGCGGTGAGAAAGCAGCCTGCGTCAGCCCACCGACGCGCGTTAATATGTTCGAACAAGGGCTGCAAGCGGGAACTGCACATTCATTCATAGGGTCAACTATGCCTTCTACGCAAGAGATTAGGTAAACAATTATAAATTATCGCGAGGGCGGCCGCCTAGAGGCGGGCTCTGCGCGAGCGTCGCCAAGTTGGCGACGGCTGCCGAGAGGCACCTTCCGGAAGGTGCTCGGGCGCGCGCGTACCTGCTATGCTAAAAGCAACGCATGATATCACACGTTCGCAGTATGTACGCATGATTACTACCCGGAGTAATGAGAGGAGCGCAATTATTACGCGCGCGAAGTGCGCTCTGCTGCAGGCACTCTGAATCGAGCGGGTTTCCCGCGCAGCATGAATTAACTCTGAAAAATATGGGCGCTGCGGGATGTCACTTTCTTACGTCCGAAATTCGACCGATCGATGCTATATATATATGAAATTATCTGAGACGAGGTGGGGGGGCTCAAAGCCGCTCTCATCATGAGCTACTCATGCTGACGCGCTGCGGCACACCTACTGTGAGCGCGGAGTGCGCGGGTGGAGCGAGCCGCCGATGAATTATCGGCAGCGCCGGCGCTGTTGTCGCTGCGCACGCAGCAGGCGTCGATCCCGTCGTTCGCGCCGTCGCGCGCGTCGCAGGAGCATCTGCTTCGGCGTCGGATGGGCGAAGGTTGAGGCGCTCGAGACGCCTGGAGCCCTCTCAGCCGCCTCATCGTTCTCTTAAAAGATTCCGCTGAGATGAAGCTCTCAGCCTGGGGGCGGTTATCTGAAAAAAAGAAATGACCATGGGCTCCGGCTCAGAGGGCCCAGCGACTCGTCGGTTGGGTGTAAACGGGCATCCCCGAGTGTCTTCAAACCAAAAAGGGTGTGAATAGAGCTGTCTTGATGGTGCTGAGGACGAAGACACCTCAAACTTTGTTGAAGACGCGAGTTTTTATAGTTTTCATTAGCTGTGAATAGTTATGCGCCCACCGCAGCCCGCCCTGTTCCACCCGGGCACGCGCCACGGGCCACGAGAGCCAGTGGTAGAGCCCAGCTGGCATGTTCAATCGTCCGGGTGGCGAGCTGTTTGCATGCAGACGTCTCGTCGCCGTGGCCGACGCATGGCTGGTCCGACGTGTGGAGGAGTTTGACCTCAGCCAGGCCGTCGGTGTCGGCGGGCTGACGGCGGCCGCCGGAATCGCGATTCGCTCTGCCAGCTGCCAGCAGCCTCGTGTCGCCGCTCTCGTTGGCGCAGCAGCAGCGATTGGCCTTTGCGCCGTCGCTCGACGGCGTCACCGCCCATCCGACCTGCGCAGCTCCTGCAGCTCCTGCAGCTCCTGCTGTCAGTCTTCTGCTCTCACGCACCTCACTCGCCGCGCGCGGATTGTGCGCCGCGCCAAGCAGGACACGTGCTCATGCAAACAATGCGAGAACTTGGTTGCGCCGCTTAGTGGCGGCGCTGGTTTAGAGGAAGCGGCAGCGTGGGAAGCAAAGCAGATGGAGGCGGCGCGGCATGCCAAGGAGCTGCTGCTGGCGGAGGTTGAGCGGCTAAGTGCAGCAAGGGCCAAGGGCAAGAAGGGCAAGAAGAAGAAGAAGAAGAATGTGGGCGTGGGCGATACGGGCGCCGCTAGGCTCAACGAGGAGGTGCTGTGCAGTTAGAGAGCTCGTAGCGAGCTCGATTTTGATGATTTGATGAGAAATATCTCACAATTTTGAGCAAAAAACGCCAAAAAAATCGGCGCCTGCGGCCGGCCAGCCTCCGGCGGCGCCTGCGGCGGGCCGCTGGGGCCTCCGCCCCAGACCCCGTTTACCCTAGCTATGCCCCGCGACCTGAGCCGGAGCCATGTGACATATTCAATAGCTTTTGGTTACACTGGGGGGGAGGAGGAGGTCTGACATGATGGACGCAGAACTTGTGGGTGGAGTATGTGTCTGGATGGTGTGCTCCTCACCCACCGCCCCACTGCCCCAGCTAGGTCTGTATATTCATACCCTTTGTTTTGCAAGGAAATGTTTTGCAGGCTGTGGAGGCAGGCGAGCATCAATGGGCATGGCTGCTTCATGCGCTGTGCAGCCCCCTCCAGGCTTGGCCCGGTTGGCATGGCATTTGCAGCCCTCTGGGCGCAGCGCGACTTCGACTCAGCAACAGCAGCAAGAGCAGCAGCAACGGCAGCAACAGCAGCAACAGCAGCAGCAGCCTGACATTTCATCTGGGGCAGCAGATGGTGGTGCAGCTGGATGTTGTGGCGCAGCAGATGCGCCTGCTGCTGAGAAACGAAGGCGCGGATGCAGAGGTGGCGCAAAGCGCCGCGCCCGGCGCGGTGTGGGCGTACGCTTGTCGGATTCAGCGATTCAGCGCCAGTGGTTCATATGTGTGCTTACTCGCGTGCATGTGCACCACCCGCTGTGTACGTAGGATCCTATGAGCGATATGCTACTTTTTCGGGAGCCAAAAATGCTTAACTACTCACAGGCTGGACGAGAAACGCACACGTAGCCGGCAGAAATCACACAGCAACAAGCGCGTTGCGCGCAAGAGCTATGAACGCGCATTGCTTTCTTAGAACTTAGAAGAGATCCACTACTTGTCTACCCGGTACGCCGTCGCAACACGCTGGGCCGCCTCCGGGTTCTCAGGTTCTCTTCGCGCGAGTTTCAGTTTCTCTTTTACTGAGCTCATAACAACCCCTTCCAACGACCCTTACCCACGCGCCGCTGCGCGTTGAGCGACCTTTATGGCGCCTGTAAGAAGTGCGCTTGCTGGGGCCTCGGAACGCAGCGCCTCGCAAAGCACGTCGAACATGCCCTCGCCAGCTCCGCGCCCCCGGACGGGGCGACACGTGTAGCCGAGGGCAGCGAGCAGACTGCGCACCGAGCCGCTTGTCCGGAAGCCGCGCGGGTAGTTTTTCGGGTCCACCGCGCCCATGCTGTCGGATTCCTCGTACAGCACGACGGGGAGGTCACGCCGGAGAAGGCGCTGGGCTCCGCTGAACACCTCGTACTCAGCGCCCTGCACGTCGACTTTGATCAGCGAGATGGGACCAGCCGACCTGTCGATGAGCTCGTCAAGGGGCACGCGGACCACCCTCACCGATTTGCGGGCCTCCCGCTGCGCCTTGCGCTGCTCCTGCGGGTTCTCCAAGTTCTCCGCAAACAGAGACGACGATGAGCCCGCGAGGTGCAGCGTGCCCAAGCCCGTCTGATTTGAGACGCACGCATTGATCACGTGCGCCTGCAGGTTGTGCTCAAACATCTTGCGCACGACCTCGTATGCTGACGGCAAGCACTCAAAGGCAAAGACGGTGTGACCGGCGTCCAGCGCGGCTCGAGTCTGCTGCCCGCCGTTTGCACCCACGTCAACCACTACGCCGGGTTGGTGGAGGAGCGCGAGGGCAGTGGACATCGAGTCTGCCCGCACAAAAGGAAGCCACAGCAGCAGGGCGCGCAGCATGCCGATGAAGCATCACCTGGAGGAGGGGCGTGAAGCATGCTTTGTAACTTTTGCCAAAAGTTGTGACGTTTAGGTATGTTGTTGGCAAATCAAGACACAGAGCTCAGGCAAATTTACAGTGGGAGGAAAGCGGCGAGTCGCAATTCCAGGGGTCGTTGTGGCGGGCCACCCTGTCCAGAGCCCGGGATGGTCCGGGATGGGATCTTTCGATCAAGTCTGTGAGCCCTGGCCGCCTCCCAGTTGGTTGTGCGAGGTTGGAAAACCAAGCAACGGAGATGGAGCGGGAGAAGTACGGTTGTTCCAGGGTGTCACGACTCGCACCGACCCTTCACGAACCGAAAGGCCGTGCCCGGCGTGCAAGGGGCACGGTAATCCGGCACGTGTTTGGCGCCCCATTCCGTATGGCGGCTAGGTCGGCTCAGGGCCCCGTCCACTTCCCTCCCACTTGGCGCGTGAAGATGAAGAGGTGCCACCCAGGCCGGCCAGGGCAAGGGCGGAGGGCAAGGGCGGAGGGCGGAGGGCTGGGCGGAGGCAAGGGCGGGCGGAGGGCAAGGTAGATTTTTTCTTTTCTTCGTTGGCCGAAGCCTCGTTGGCCCTGAGGGAGGGTGTAGAGGATGTAGAGTGTAGAGCGCTGTAGAGCTGTAGAGCTGTAGAGCGCTGTAGAGCTGTAGAGCTCTACATCCGCCGCGTGACGAGGCGCCTGCGTTGTAGAGCGATGTAGAGGCGCTCTACAACGTGAAATCTCTACAACAAACTCTACATCATAAGCGGCGAACGAGGCACGGTCGCTCTCCGACATGAGGCGCGTTGCACTTGCCAGTGCTGCCCTGGCCTTCTGTCTGCCCGCCCAATGGGTGGCAGGTGCCTCTGCTGCTATGGCATGCCTCACGGCTGCGACTGGCCGGCGCCTCGGCGCGTCAGCTCGGCTCGGCGTAGCGATAGTGGCCAGCGCAACTCGCCTGGACTCAACGCTCAGCCAGGAGCTCCCGCACGCGCTGGCGCGAGTCATGGCGCATGCAACGCGTCTGAATGCTCGCCTCGCCTCGCGCAAATGCGACCGTCCTCGCAGCCGACAGTCCACCGCCTGCTAAAGAAGCACAGCGACGAATGCGGCACCGGCGACACATGGCAGGCTGGTCATGACGCAGTTATAGGGTGTTGTGTGCCGTCAGAGGGACTCTCTGTGTGTCAGGGATAGTCAGGGCTGTCCATCAGAGCTTCACTAAGCTCGGAGACACCCCATTAGCGCGGCTCGACCTCTTTGAGTCACTGCCTTCCCGGCGGTTTGGCTGTAGAGCCTCTACAACAAACTCTACAACAAAATCGCGCTCTACATCGCTCTACAACGCAGGCGCCTCGTCACGCGGCGGATGTAGAGCTCTACAGCTCTACAGCGCTCCAGAGCGCTCTACATCTCTACAGCTCTACAGCGCTCTACACTCTACATCCTCTACACCCTCCCTCAGCGTTGGCCGAAGCCTCGTTGGCCGAAGCCTCGTTGGCCGAAGCCTCAAAGTTGTGGGAGTCGCAGAACCGCCGTCCGCGCGCGCTGTGAACAGTGCCATGGTCGAACGTTGTTCGACGACGTCGAACACGTAGCGAAAGAGAGACCGCCGGACCTATTCACACTTGGGCCGAGTACATTGAAAGAGGGGTTGAAATGCGGCGCTATCAGCCAAGCCGCTCTCCTCGGCGGACACATGGCGGCTTCCGCCGCACGCTGCCTTTGCGCGCGAGCGCGAACGAGCACCACGACATCCGCTACCGCTGCGATGTCGCTTGAGGACCACGGCCAGCTTCAGCGCGCAGCGTCGCTCGCCCTCGTTACGTTTGCTTCTCTGATTGGCACCATCCCCGCCGTGGTTTACGCGAGCTCTGTGTACCTCGACTCAACCGTGCGCTACGGCGCTGACGGCACTGAACGCAAGTTCACGCCGGAGCGGGATGTCGGCGACAGGCCCTTCAGCATAGCAGAGCCCTTTGCGACCGTGACCAACCTGTGCATGATCACTTCGGGGATCGGGTTCTTCTTCATGCAGGCCCTCTCCGAGCGGTACTTGAGCCCACAGCTCTTTGGGATGGCCATCTTCTTCGTCTTCCTCGGCGCCGCGTCCTGGGCGTTCCACGCCGACGCCTCAGAAGGCAAAACTTGGCAACACAACACAGACCGGTCCCCTCCTGCTTCGCTCTTGCTGCTTCTTGCTCCCTTTCTCTCCTACTCTCCGCTCCCATTCTCCCTGGCCAGGTTCGCGATGTTCTGCACCTTCACCTATATGAGCTGCATGGCCCTGAACGGCACCATCCACGCTGCGCTCGGACGCCCCGACCGGCCGCGAGACTGGGCCACCATGCTGACGACAGCCTTTGGCCTCTTTGGAGCAGCTATCATGCTGACGCACCAAAGCCGCCTCATCTCGTACGAGGTGCTACCGCGCTAGCTGGCCCTCCTCCTCCCTCCCTCCTCCCTCCTCACACCTCCTTCTCGGCGCCGGTGTTGCCTGTCCGACTCCCGTTTCCTGTGTGTAGGTGCTTCTGGCCGGCGGCGCGGTGGTCTGCACGTTAAACT